TTCTGTCTGGCTTGGCTCATGAGCATTCATGCCTGTGACATTTCTTGGGACATTTCCACCTACGTGAAACATTATTGTGGATCAGAGGCTTCAGATGGGGTTTTGCCTAGAACAGTCTGGCCTTGCCACAGCCCCACTCACAGCAGGAGCAATGGAAACAGTGTCTTCCCTTCCTCCAAATAGCCTTCAGTGGAAAGCCCCGCAGCTTCCACCCCTAGACACACACCGAGGCCAAAGCAAGACCCAGCGTTTAGCCTTTGCAGCTGAGCTGGACCTGCTGGCTATTTGGACCTCAGTGGTCTTGACCTCTTTAGGCCCAGCTTCCAGCTCTGGCCTCCAGCTTGCTGTGTAGAGACTAGTGAAGAGTACTAACCTAAGGATCTGTGGGGAGGATGGTGAGCCGAGGAGCCCTGGCCTGCCTTGGGCTTAGGAGCTGTCTTCTGGGCTGTGAGCTATTTCTTTCTGTGGGAAAAGCCTAGTAGTTTGAATCCTTTCTACTCTAACCCTGACAGAGGAACCTCCTAACCTTTCTGTGTTCATTTTCTCATCTTCCTAACTTGCAAAGTGCTCTGAGCTTTTCTTTTGGACCTAGATATATCATTCTTTCTTGATAGGAAGAATCCAATTGTTTTGGAAGAAAATGGAGTCTAAAGAGTAACGTTATCAAGAAGAGTGATGGACAAACACTTCTGAGCCTTTGCTGTCTGCCTGTCCAGGGCCCCGGTCCTTCCCTATCTGCCTGTCCAGGGCCCCGGTCCTTCCCTGTCTGCCTGTCCAGGGCCCCGGTCCTTCCCTGTCTGCCTGTCCAGGGCCCCGGTCCTTCCCTGTCTGCCTGTCCAGGGCCCCGGTCCTTCCCTGTCTGCCTGTCCAGGGCCCCGGTCCTTCCCTGTCTGCCTGTCCAGGGCCCCGGTCCTTCCCTGTCTGCCTGTCCAGGGCCCCGGTCCTTCCCTGTCTACCTGTCCAGGGCCCCGGTCCTTCCCTGTCTGCCTGTCCAGGGCCCCGGTCCTTCCCTGTCTGCCTGTCCAGGGCCCCGGTCCTTCCCTGTCTGCCTGTCCAGGGTCCTGGTCCTTCCCTGTCTGCCTGTCCAGGGCCTTTATTGTTTTCCCACATACAAGTAACTTTGTTGCCAAGAATTGACTTCCATGTCAGCTCAGAGAGTTCAGGAGTCACGGCTTCCTGTCATCTCTGGTATTTTGATAATTGGGAATAGAGCCACTTTAGGATATTTTAGAAATCTCCACATCTTCACAAATTACCTACACACCCACCATCAAGGCCTGGCCCTCAGATTTCCTTGTCAAGAAGTAGATGGGCTGGGGGCGGGGGGTGAAGAAACAGGAAACAGATCCTTAAGCACAGTGTCCTCCTAGTTAGGCCAAAGCTCAGAGTCCAGACATCTCCTCATGCAGCAGTGACTCAGATGTGCTAAAATGACCGGTCCTGTCCCATGTAGGAGCCACATAAAACCAGGATGTGAACTACACAGAATCGGGAATGGAGGTGGAATGGAGCAGGGCCCCTTAGACGCCAGAGTGAATTGGCATTCTATAATACGGTCACGGAAAGAATTTTGTGCCCCAGGGGGTCCCATGTAAGAGCAGGCATTTGGAGTTTTGGGTGGCTTGGTTGGGGTGACAGTGTTCACTATCTAACGTATGTGGGGGACACCTGCTGGTGGATGGAGCGTCAGTCTGTTAGCTGACGGTGACATTTCAGAATTGCTGCTGCTGGGGACCGGCTCTAACCCTGTCTTCAAGCACAGCCGTGGGAAGAAATGGTGACCTCATGTACCCGAGACTCTTCAAAGCCTCGGGTGCAGGTCTCACTGTTCTCAGTCTGGCTCTTTAGAAACTTTGAACGGCCACCCAAACAAGACACAGCCTGAGATTGTTGCCAAGAAAGAGTAAACTCGAGTCTTTTTGGCATGTTGGGCTTTTGGGTCTCCAGTGAGATGGGAAAACATTCCCCAGTGCAGCCTCCTCTAGGGGAGGGATTTCACTTTTCATCTTTGGCCTGCAGAGGAAGCGAGGAGGGACCCTGCGGTGGTTACCCCAGGGTGTGAGACAGCTGAGATTTTTTTTGTTTTGTTTTGTTTTGTTTTTTGAGACAGGGTTTCTCTGTGTGGCTTTGCGCCTTTTCCTGGAACTCACTTGGTAGCCCAGGCTGGCCTCAAACTCACAGAGATCCGCCTGGCTCTGCCTCCCGAGTGCTGGGATTAAAGGCGTGCGCCACCACCGCCCGGCTGACAGCTGAGTTTTAAGGTGGGTGCCTTAAGAATAAACATTCATCTGTTGACCACAAACACAGCCTCTTCTTTTGATGAACGCACAGAATCCAGCATCCTTTATTCTGGCTGTAAAGGCGTGTTCTGAATTGGAAGCATGTGGACGAGGTTGCCCAAGGTTCCCTGAAGGATCAAAGAGGCTTTGACCAATCCGTTCAAGGGACTGCTTCAAGGCATTTCAGCCCCGGGGAGTTGAGAACTGATGGGGGTCTAGAGAGAGAAGCTTGCATGCGGTGAGAAACTGACATGTGTGCAGGCCGGGCAGAAAGAGACAGTTCAAAAGTCCGCGTCAGAACAGACTGGAAGCGGTGCCTGCAGGTGAGGAGAGCTGGCTGGTGATGTCTGCACTTGGCCCCTTCCTCCCCGTGGGGCCCTTTCCGGGTTGAGCCTTTTGATGTGGGAGAGCTGCTGTGCTCTCCCAAGGTGTAGGTGATGGCCACTGGCGTACGAGGAGGCTTTGCTTTTCTCTCCTCTCGGTGTCTGATGGGGCCCATTTCTTGGGGTTTTTTTTTACCACATATTTTCACACTCATCTTTGCAGAGAGAGAGAGAGAGAGAGAGAGAGAGAGAGAGAGAGAGAGAGAGAGAGAGAGATATACTTGGGGTGGCCGAGCCACAGGTAGTAGAGATCTTCCTGCCTGCTCGTGCTGCCCCTCTCTCTGGGCACCAAGGTCCAATGGCATCTTGAATCGCCACAGCAAGGCTTCTAGGAAGCCTGCAGCATATTGTTGCCTGCTCTTCACTCTACTCCTCTGTTTTTTATAGCCACCTCTTCCTGCCCTTCTGGAGCAAAGGGACGTGCTCACAAGCAGGGGCAGTGACGAGGAGAACACAGAGAAGGAGCTGGCTGCAGCCGTCTCCACCCTGTGCTTCACATGTCGGCCCTTGACTGGGCTGGCCCCCACTCTCCTAGGAAAGCACAGTGCTGAGCTGGGAGGCCTCGGAGCCCCAGCAGTCTCCCTTAGCAGTAAGGCCCCAACTGTTGCTCACACACTCCTTTTCTCCTCTTGTTCCCAGCCCCCTTCCTGTAGTGGCAGGAGGGGCAGGCTGGGTGGGGACAGAAGTGGCCTTGGTAAGGAGAGCCTTAACCCGCCATCCTTTAACTCTGACTAGAAGCTTGTGTATCTCTGCAGGCATTTTCCTCCCTCATTTATTATTTCTCCGTTTCCTATGTATATGTCACGTATTTTGATCATGTCTCCCGTGTACCCTGCTGTTCTGTGCTGCTGAACCCTACTTCCCAAGCTCCCCTCTCACGTATGTTTGTGGTGGGCCCCACTGCATTGTCTTAGGTTGCTGGTACAAGTCAGAGGTGCACCCATCTTCTACTGCATTACCGACACGATAGCCAGCTCTGAGGCCTGGCTTTGTTTCCTTCCTTCCTTCCTTCCTTCCTTCCTTCCTTCCTTCCTTCCTTCCTTCCTTCCTTCCTTCCTCTCTTTCTCTCTGTCTTTCTGTCTTTCTGTCTTTCTGTCTTTCTCTCTTTCTCTCTTTCTCTCTCTCTCTCTCTCTTTCTCTCTTTCTCTCTTTCTCTCTTTCTCTCTCTCTCTTCCTTCCCCCTCTGTCTCTGTCTCTCTCTCTGTCTCTCTGTCTCTCTGTCTGTCTGTCTCTCTCTCTCTCTCTCTGTTGTTTGAAGTCTGCCTTGCCCTGTCCTGCCTCACCTGAATCCCACTTCTTGAAAGTCATTTCTCCAAGGAGAAGTCTTATTTCTCCTCAGTCCATTCCTTCTTCCCAAAGATGTGTGTGTGTGTGTGTGTGTGTGTGTGTGTGTGTGTGTCATCCTTTATCTTTCCATTCTTCCACAGCATGGCATACATCACATTTTGTTTTAAAAATATAATTATGAAAACAAATTTTTCCAGGTTAGAAAGGCAGCGTGTAGCTTCTCTTATTCTTCACAGGTTTGTCCTCAACATCTAGAACCTGAAAGGCTCATCAGATATTTGAGTGCAAGCATGCTTCTTGGAGGTGAATGTGGACAGAGCACACATGTGAGAATGTCTTAGGAAACTTCCGGGGGCTAGGAAGACAGACCCATTCATTAAAGTGCTCACTCCGCAAGCTCGGGGACAGGACTTTGGATCCCCAGAGACCCTGTAGGAGGCTGGGCGTGGTGGTGTGTGTCTGTAGTCCTGATGCTGAAGAGGCAGAGATGGAGGACAGCTGGATCTGCTCGCCAGCTACTCCGGTCAGATCTGTGAGCTCCAGGTCCATTGAGAGAATCTGTCTCAATAAATAAGGTGGAGAGGCATTGAGAAAGACACCTGGCATGACCTGATTTCTACACACATGTGCACGCACGCATACACACAATAGCAACAAAACCCCAGCACACACACAGATGAAACCTTTTATTTTGTGTGGTAATTAAAGAAGGTAGATTTGGTCTCTTAAACTTTGTGGATCATGTGTTTTTAGACTTAACCTCTTTAGGGCAGGGGACAGAGATGAGTTTGGTTGGAGCTACTGAAGTCAGAGCACCTGTGTTATGTATGCAGTTGAATACATGGGTCTGAAACTCAAGCAAACAGGCCATTCTTGGGGAATAGATTTGGAGATCGTGAGCATGGTCTATGCAAGGCTCCTTGGGGCCCCAGTGTTGCTACACAGCAGAATGGACAAGCAGAGACAGAGGCTATGTGTGGAGGATCTCAGGCTTTCATGTTCCAACTATATTTCCTTGCCTGAGGATTTATTCATTTGTTTTTCCTCACAGAAATGGCCTCTACCTTTAGCCCCAGAGAGTGCAAATTGTCCAAACAAGAGGGGCAGAACTACGGCTTCTTCCTGCGCATTGAGAAGGACACTGATGGCCACCTGGTCCGGGTGATTGAGAAGGGGAGCCCAGCAGAGAAAGCAGGGCTCCTGGATGGGGACAGAGTTCTCCGGATCAATGGTGTCTTTGTTGACAAGGAAGAGCATGCACAGGTGAATAGACACTTGGGGTTCTAGCACCTCTTCAGCCTCCACATCTCTGCTCACTATGATTTTGGGGGGGTCAGTGGAGCTTGGTTCTCTTGTGGCTGCTATTGGCCAGGATCTATCATGTTTTATGTTGGCCGGTCTAATTGCTTATAATGAACTGAGAATTGCAAAACGTACTATGTGGCTCAGTGGGTAAAGGTGCTTGTGGCCAACCTCAAGACCTGGGTTCAATCCGTGGGCCTGACATGGTGGAAGGCGAGAACTGATTTCCATAAGTGTCCACATGCATGTGCCATGGCATGTGCCCTATTATAGAACCAATCAATCAATCAAAAAATGTTCTGTGTAATAGTGTGGTCAAACACGCACTGCCCAGTTGCTGTGTGCTAGCCAGTTTTGTCTGAATAAGCTAGCGCCCTCAGCGTAAGCCTGTGAGGCATGTGTGACTGCACAGACCAGGCAGCCGTGTGTAGGTGACTTAGCTTGTTAACACTCATGCAGTGAATATATGGGAGAGGTGGGTCCTGCCCCACTTCGGTATCGTTCCCCTTTCTCTACACCATGCACCCCGCCCCCCCCCCCACAGACCTGAGAAGCCCTGTTGTGCTCTCTCAACCTCCCTAATGCTTCGGCCCTTTAAATACAGTTCCTCATGTTGTAGGAACCCCTGACCATAACATTATTTTCGTTCCTACTTCATAACTGTAATTTTGCTACTATTATGAATTGTAAATATCTGATATGCAGGGCATCTGATACACGACTTCTGTGAAAGGGTCGGGTCATTCAATCCCCAAGGGGTCACGACCCACAGGCTGAGAGTCACTGATCTAGAGCATTCATTTCTGGGAAAGACCAGTCCTTGTAAGGGCTTCCTGGATTCCCACAGGGCCAGGGTCCCAGTCTAATCCTCTCCTATGTGTTAGGAGTATTGGGGTGAAGGTGTCTGGTACCCCTCTGCTTAGGGTATGGGTGTCAGGTTAGCTGGCAGACCTTTCGGAACACAGGATGAACACCTTCCTTCTGCAGCTGGTGGGGGGCGGGAGGTGGTTATCAGGACATGGCAGCCTTTTACCATTTCTCCCTTCTTTAAAGGTGGTGGATCTGGTCAGAAAGAGCGGGAATTCAGTGACTCTGCTGGTTCTGGATGGAGACTCCTATGAGAAGGCTATAAAAAAACAGGTGGACTTGAAAGAATTGGATCCGAGCCAGAGGGAGCCAGCTTCTAATGATAAGAAACCAGGTCCTGTGATGAATGGGGCAGTGGAGACATGCGCCCAGCCACGGCTCTGCTACCTGGTGAAGGAGGGCAGCAACTTCGGCTTCTCTCTGAAAACCATCCAAGGTGAGCTGGGGGCCGGGGTGAGCAATAGCCTTCCGGAGGACCGAGGTTGTTAATGACATTCTCTGTAGTCGTTATGAATGCCCACAGCAACGCCACTCTCTTCCTTCGTCTCTAGTCCAAAGCTTTCTCTGCGGTTGTCCAAAGAGAGATCTGGACTTTGGACATCAGCAAGGGCTGAGTGGAGTAGGGTCCCAGGCACTCTTTTCCTAGTGTGTGTCAGGCTGGCCCTTTGAGGTCAGGGGTTCAAGGGCTGATGCCTCTTCATTGTTTTGTATTCCCTTGGTTTTTCAAGACAGGGTTTCTCTGTGTAGCCCTGGCTGTCCTGGAACTCACTCTGTAGACCAGGCTGGCCTCGAACTCAGAGTTCTGCCTGCCTCTGCCTCCTAAATACTGGGATTAAAGGTATGCACCACCACCACCACCTGGCTTCATTGTTCTTTTCTAGCTCCCTTAGGGTGAAGGTGGAGGGGAGGAGGTTCTTCATGATAGCTACATTGAGTGAGACTGATATCTCTTTTCATGGCCCAGAGAAGGCAAAAATTCAACAAATTTTTAGCATCTGTTACCATGTTACAACCCCAGAGCAGCTGTATAAACCCTGCCCTCCAGTGACATTATAATACTCTCAGTTGAAGCCTAGTCTCAATTGTCCTAAGATGTGTCCCTGATCTATGCCACAAAGGACATACTTGAGAATCCCTGACCCTTGGGAAGTCTTAGAGGCCCTGTTTCTGTGGTTTCAGAGGAATGCACCGTGCTGCACTGTCCACTGGAATTCTTTAGTGTTTCTCCTAGGAAACCGGCCAGCTTGTTGGCTCCATCTTCAATTGTTAAACAGAGAAGAGGAGGTGGGTAGATTCAGGAAAGATGTTGACACATCTTTTCAGCAATCAGCTTTATTATGAGAAAGGGCCATGAGGTGAGTGTTAGCTCATCACCTAACACTAGTGTTGCCCCGTCCACATTCTCTGTGGTCCTGGAGAGGACTGATGGTGGGCTGTGTTTGGTGGAAGACAAAGGAGAAGGCTATTTGACAATTTAACATGGTTTTCAGAGGTCATGCAAGAGATAGAAATTAAAACCATGAGAGATAGTATTATTAAACATCTGTATTATTAAACACAGTGGTGTTGAGGGCCAAAGAACCTTGGTGTTTTTAGAAATCTATTAATGGTAAAATAGTGTCAAAGAAAGACGAGGACTGGTGAGCTGGTTCAGTGGGTAGAGGTGTTGGCTGCCAAGCCTGACGACCCGGGTTCAATCTCCAGAGCCCCACTTGGTGGGGGGAGAGAACCAACTCTGACCTCCACATGCATGTTATAATGTGTGTGTGTGCATGTACGTGTGTGTGTGTGTGTGTGTGTGTGTGTAACCACACACACAAATTAACCTAAAAAGTCCAAATTCACAGTCTCCTCACTGGGCTCTTGTGCTGATGCATGCAGTGAGTGGTTTGTTAGCTTTATGGAGAAAATGTTTTCTTCATGACAAACTGCAAGATAATGGTGAATGTATAAGAAGCCAAGCAGCAATCGGCTTGGAGAGGGAAGCTGACACATAATCCTGTCAGGAATGAGGTTTATTAGGATGAGAGAGAGCCTCGAGGCCATGATGGGGCCTTGGGTGGGGGACATTAGACAGCGAGATGTATGGAGAGTCAGACACGGTGGGATCTTAAAGGGAAGGGCAGGCTTCCCTTTGAAGCCAGGAGAGAGAGAAAATGGATGAACGAGTGAATGAACGAGCCAACCATATGAGAAGGATGGCTGGGGAGGCTAGAGGAGCCTCTTCAGAGGTCAGCTCTCAGAGCTTTCTCTGAGCCCAGAACAAAGGGAGAGGTCTGGCTTTTTATTACCTCCTAGGGGTGGTGAGGAGTTTCCCATCATGGAATTTAGTTCAACACAGTCATGTGTGGCCAGGAGCCTGGAGGATGCCAGTCAAGAGCTGGCGAGTCCCATCATAGGTGCTTTTAACTCTGTTCCAGAGAGAGCCACAGGGAGACCTTAAAGGTGCCATCCTTGTGTTCTAACGGGCAATAGGAGAACTGTTAGTGTTCAAAGAAGCTGAGTGGGTGGTGGTCCTCCTCCTCCTTACAAGTACCGTAGGTGATCGTATAAAGCTACCCTCATGGGGTTGGGGATTTAGCTCAGTGGTAGAGTGCTTGCCTAGCAAGCACAAGGCCCTGGGTTCGGTCCTCAGCTCCGGGGGGGGGGGGGGGGGGGGGAAGCTACCCTCGGAATAGACGGAAGTGTTAGCGTCTAGAAAGAATTACTGCATTTCTTTAGGTTAACACCTAAACCACACCACACATGTGCTCCTTCTCTTCCTCCTCTCTCCGGCCTTGCTGGGTTGCAGCAGAGGTCTGTGGATGCCAGCGGTATGTAATGTTAGGGGAAGGAACAGAGGCACTGACTTCTAACTCTACAGATGCAGAGATAGATGCTGCGTGGGTATGGATCAGTACTTTCTGGTTCAAGAGGCCAACGCCAGACATTTATTTTTAAAATTTCCATTGATGTGTGTGTATGTGTGCATGTGCTCGTGTGTGTGTGCGTGTGTGTGTGTGTGTGTGTGTGTGTGTGTGTGTGTGTGCGCGCGCGCGCGCATGCATGCCATGCTGAATGTGTGGGGGTCAGGGAACAACTTATAGTTCTGTTCTTCCATTATGTGGACCTGGGAATTGAATGACATGACATCAGGTGGCCTCTTATCCTCTAAGTCATCTCACCGGCTTGTCACAGAGAGTCTCGCCTTTCCTTCAGTCAGAAAGACTTTCTCTTCAGACCAACAGACCGGTGCTGAGTAACAGCAGTGCCCAGCTTCGTGCTAGGAGCTGTAACTGAGTTGAGAGCCGAGACAGACAATCTGAGACAGCTCTGAAGGTCTCCGGAGGGAACTCTTGATCGGCCGACGTACAGCTTTTCTGTGCAATAGGATCCCTCTCAACTCTTCTTCCAGGCAAAAAGGGCGTGTACCTGACTGACATAACACCTCAGGGAGTGGCCATGAGAGCTGGGGTCCTGGCCGACGATCTCTTGGTTGAAGTGAACGGAGAAAACGTAGAGAACGCCAGTCACGAGGAAGTGGTGGCAAAGGTAATCCTCAAAGGGCGCTTTTCTCCCCTCTCCTCCCGTCCACTCCACCGGAAGTGATGGAGGCGGGTGGTAGCGCCTGCCTGGATGAGCGTGTGATGGAGAGCATCCCTCTAGGTGTTTGTATCAACTGGTGGCATGGGCGGGGCTAACAGGGCTCTGGGCCCCTCCCCCTTTCAGTTTCCATTTCTACCTTCACTTGCAGTCAACCACATCTGAAAGTAATGGAAACTTCCAGAAACAGATGGTTCACAAGTTTAAACAACTGTTCCTACAATACACTGTTGTAATTGATTATGTGTTAGTCACTGTGTCCGACTCGTAAATTGAACTACCGAGGGCGTGTGCGAGGAGGAGACCGCACTGACTTACTACTGTTTGCCGTCTGCGGGTGGCTGCTGCGTTCAGTGACTGACAGGTGTCGGGCACAAGGACGAGGATGCTAGATACCTTCTGGATGGAGGTGTGGGTGGCAAGGGATGGATTTCATCACTGCTCAAAACAGAATACAGCATTACGTTTGTAAGCAACTCCTCAAGTCCATTTCCACACTCCGGATGGCCATGGGTAACAAACCGTTCCTGCCGGGTGTTGGAAGGCTCCCAGCACGCTGACACCGGAGGAGGGCTCTCTTGTTGAGGTCAGATGGAGCCTTGGACACTGACCGACCTCTTGCCCTGCAGAATGATCTCCCAAAGTCGGTCCTTACTTTCTTTTCTAAAATCCCATTCGGCCCTTCTCACCTGCACATCTTTTTCTGCTCTTTAAGAATTTGGGCTCCCACTTGAGTTCAGTTAACGTCTGTGCGGTTGGCTGTTTTCCCTCCAAATAGCTAGATAAATACCAGTCAGGCCGGGGGAAGCACGCAAGCGCTGGTGCTCAGGCCCCGGACCCGAGCCTTCTGCGCCTGCGCCGCACGGCAGCCTCCCCCGCCCCCCACTCCCCCCGGGTCGTTTATGGAGGCCCCGGCCCTCATCTGTGTGTCTTGCTGCAGGTGAAGAAGGCGGGGAGCCGTATGGTGTTCCTCCTTGTGGACAAGGAGACTGCCAAGCGCCATGATGAACAGAAGACACAGTTCAAGAGGGAAACAGCCAGTTTGAAACTGCTGCCCCACCAGCCCCGGGTGGTGGAGATCAGGAAGGGAAGCAATGGTTACGGGTTCTACCTGAGGGCAGGCTCTGGACAGAAAGGTGAGGCACCAGGCAGCAGCTCCAGCCCCGCCAGGGCACTGCAGGGGAGCAGGAGGCAGAGCTGCTCACGTTGCCCTGAGCGGCCTGATGCTGGAGTCTCTGTTTCCATAACAGAGTGGTCGGGCAGAGGTTAGGGTCTGGATAGACAGGCGGGACTAACTTGGCTCTCTGAAGGAAATCTGAATATGGAGCACTTGCTGCCTTCTGTGATGCGAATACCCCAACTTTTTCTGACTTTATGTTGCCAACATAATGGCCTTGAACACAAGGTTGAGCACGCTGCAAGCAACCGGCCTCTGGAAATTGCCTCAGGAATCTCACGCTGGGAAAAGAGAAATAGTGGGGAAGGAGGGCAGGCACCCAGAAGGGATTCACAACTTATCACACCACCTTTCGGGAGAGGGCAGGATGGGCCGGTGGTGCGTGGGGCCTTAACCTCACTTCAGAACCCTGAAGATAAGACTTGAAGGTGTCCCTAGACTCCTTTGCCCTTACCAAGGTGGCTATCTTGAGTAACTCTCTCCTTTCTGCTATTAATTTGGCTGTTTGGATCAGCTTATGGAGGACTAGTGGCTGAACTTTGCTTGTTGGGGTACAGGCGGGGACCCCCAAATAGGGCAGTGCCGGCCTGACTTCGAAGGCTGGGAGCCTTTGTGCTCTGCACCCCCTTCCTGCCTCTTACATCAGGGTCTCCCTGTGTACAGACTGACCTTGAACTTGGGGCCCTATGGCTTCCACTTCCCTGGTGCTGGCCCCTTTCCCTTCTGTGGCTTACCTGCTGGGTACGATTTGTGGTTGCAAGGATGCCCACGGACTCCCTAGGAACTCCTTAGCCTGCCACTTTGTCAAAAGTGACCATCAGACACTTTCAGTAAACACCAGGTTCCCAGTCTTTTAAGACCCTCTCATGGTTTGAGGCTGGGTTTGCTCCAGGAACAGGCTAGAGAGTAGATTTGAGGCCCTTGGGGTGCAGAGAGACTGGGGGAGTTGGATTCAGCATGCCTTTATACCTATTTCTTCAGGCCCAGGGACCCAGCAGAGACCTCAGCACTTATTTGCTTGGGGGCTTTCCTGGTGACTTTGCTCTGTGTGGGGAGGGTAGGTCAGATCACCAAGGACATAGAACCTGGGAGCCCAGCCGAGGCAGCTGGCTTGAAGAACAACGACTTGGTGGTTGCTGTCAATGGCGTGTCCGTGGAAGGCCTCGATCACGACAGTGTGGTGGGAAGGATCAAGGAGGGTGGAGACCAGACCACACTGCTGGTGGTGGACAAAGAGGCCGACAGCATCTATGGACTGGTAAGTAATGCCTGGAATGCATGTATTCCATATGAGGATGTATATTCACGCACATATTCATGCACTCGGGCGGGGCTCCTTCACTCATGCCCTCCGACTTGGAGCTGAGTCCTTTGTCCTTCAGCCTGGAAGGGGCCATAACAACCACTAAGGCCAAACTGTGGCTCAAATTGGAGGTGACAGGAGAGTGTTCAGGGAGTTATAAATTCCTGGACTAAAAACTTTGAATTTGTAAATCAGCTGAAGAATGACTCTCGCTGATCTGGGATAAGCTATGAAGAACAGGAATCTCAAACTGGACAGAGGCGGCCCGGACTTCTCAGAGCTGGCACAGGCGTAGATGGATTTATTTGGTTTTAGATTCATTTTTGTGTGCGAGTCTGCATGTATGTATGGGCATGTGCATGCCGGGGTCAGAAGCGGGCGTCAGATCTCCTGGGGCTGGAGTTACGGGAGGTTGTGAGCCACCTGTTGTGAGTACTGGGAACCGAACTTGGGTCCTCTGCAAGAGGTGAGCACTCTTAACCTCTGAGCCATCTCTCCAGCCCTGATAGTGGATGTGATACTGTTGTTGGTCAGCAGGCTTCTTCAGTCTTGAGAAAGATCTAGAAAAGTTCCTTAGTTTATTGTCAATGATGCAGAACCATAGCTCTCACCTCAGAAGGAAGAAGAATTTATTTTGGAGTTAAATTTGAGGGACCATGGTCCGAGAACACAGATTTAGGTTATCCCAAGTCCTACCACGTTCCAACGTGGAGGCAGTTTAATGGATTTTTTATAGTAACAGAACAGAGAGAGGTATAAATCAAGGCCTAAAAAATACATTTGTGGAAACAGGCAGGTTACAGTGAGGCAGAGGCCTCATGCTGTGCGACAGCATGTAGCCCTTTGGTTGATGAAGAACAGATTTTGTTAGTACATTCCAACTTGTTTATCAGAATGTCCGAGGTGAGAAGAAATCCATCGTTAGGCTACAGTTCGCCCTAGAGAAACTGCTGGACCTGCCGCATTGCCACCTCTCCACAGTCCTGGAATTCTCCTTCACATTGTCCTCAGTAAACACAGTGTAAACATCACCAAGGACCTCACTCCCTCTTCTTATTATGACAGCTGTTCACGTGTGTTAAGGCTTTTTAGAAAAGATGCTATTATTTTTAAATCATGTGTATATGTGTGGTTGTGTGTGGATATGTGTACATGAGAGCATGTGCTCACAGAGTCCAGAAGAGGGTGCTGGGTCCCCTGGAGCTGGAGTTACAGGCAATTGTAAACTGTCTGATGTGAGTGCTGGGAACCAAACGGGTCCTTTGCAAGAGTGGCATGTGCTCTTAACCACTGAGCAGCTCTACTCCCAACATTTTATAATACTTTGTCATGAGAACTGGGGTTCAGTCCAGTTTAGCAGATGTCTGGGGGCCACAGTGCCATCTGCCTTGCTGAATGTTGGCCACAGGGATAGATAATAGTCGTCTTCTGTGTGTTACGCAGTAACAGAAGCACCTCAGCGGCATGGCATAGGGAGGAAGACTATGGGTGGTGACAATGGCCTCTTCTTATAGCTTGGAAACTAAACTTGGACACTGAATGACTTAGATACCCAGCTTAGCAGAGACTCAGATCAGTATTTGAACTCAAGTTCTCCAACTCGATTCATCAGACCATACATGTTCTCTTAAATCTTGATTAGATTTTTCAAGGTTCTTTTGTAAACAAGATTAAAGAATTAATCGGATGGAAAAAAAAAGAACGGATTTGTTAGCTAGTTGAATAATCATACCTAGAGAATCTCTGGTATTGGGATAATGTCAACCTGAACAGAAGTCTCTAATGGTACACACACACTACTTGTTCCCATCCTGATTTATTACATTGGGATGGAGACATGTTTAATGTATTTTCAGAGGATTTAAAGGAGTGGTGGGTAATTGACAGGAGGATGTGATTAACATTCAAAACATCTAGCCAGGGGCTAGAGAACTGCGTCCCAAGTTCTCGCCTTGCCTGAGGATCTGAGTTTGATCCCCAGCACCTCTGTGACGAAGCCAGGTGTGGCACTGTGTGTGCTGGAGAGGTGGGGGCAGGATCCTGGGGCTCAGGGGCTGGCCAGCCTAGCCTCATGGGGGACAGACCCTGTCACACGAGAGGCAAGGTGAAAGGACACCCAAGCAATGACATCCAAGGTTATCCTCTGCACACACGTGTGTACCTGCACACCCACGAACACACGCCCTCCTAATCAGATGAGGAGGAATAAAAACAAACAAGACGGACTAGAGATGGTTTTTAAGTACTAGTTGAACTTGAAAGTAAACTGTCTGAATACGAAGTGTCGAGAACATATCTGATACTCCAAAAAGCTGCCCCCCCAAACAAAACAAAACAATTTAAGGTGACATTAATTGATTTCTAGAGGTAGTTGGTCAGACCAGCCATGGAAACACTAGTAATGGAATCATGGGTAAGCGGTCCTGAGCTCCAGCTTTCTTGGTTATAAGGTAGCATGAGGGGCAGGGGAAGGACTAATTTAGTTACTATTTAGTGCATGTGGATGTCTCCCATGTATGACCATTGAACACGTGGATGTCTCCCATGTATGACCATTGAACATGTGGATGTCTCCCATGTATGGCCATTGAACATGTGGATGTCTCCCATGTATGGTCATTGAACATGTGGATGTCTCCCATGTATGGTCAGGATGTCTCCCATGTATGACCATTGAACATGTGGATGTCTCCCATGTATGGTCATTGAACATGTGGATGTCTCCCATGTATGGCCATTGAACATGTGGATGTCTCCCATGTATGGTCAGGATGTCTCCCATGTATGACCATTGAACATGTGGATGTCTCCCATGTATGGTCATTGAACATGTGGATGTCTCCCATGTATGACCACTGAACTCATATTGTGTCCAGTTCTGAGAACCTATTCTGACAAAGTCCTGCAACCAAAAAGGTGGTGACAGAGGGCAAGGGACAACACTGGGTGCCACCCTGAAGCAGGACAGGCTTCCGAGGAGAGGAGCAGCCTTGAGAACATGACAGGTCGGCAGGCAGTAAATCCTCATCACTGCCCAGCCGAGTGCATGTTTGCTCACCTTTTTTTTTTTTTTAAAGAAAAAATAATTTGAAAGGCTGTTCCCATACTAAAGCACCAGGGAGCTATTTCTGGCTTAAGAACAACCATAGCTGTTAGAAATGGGGACAACTTGACTTCTGCAAGCCACTGTTTGATGTTGTGCATTGATGCTGCACTGAGGGTTTTGTTGTAACTCCTGAGGAACAAAATCTGTGGTAGAATGATGTCAGCGTAATCTTCCCGGTTTCGGTTAACTTGAGGCGAGTCTTCCCACTCTCCATGGTGGGCTTCTCGGGCTGGCTTGGGGGTGGGACGGATCTGAGATACAGTAGTAAGTCAAACACCTTTAACAGTTCCTGACGGGCTAGATTCACGAGTGCTCCAGAGAGGGATAAAAGCCTTCCTGTTTCTTCTTTCATGCTGGGCACTCTGACGCCAGGGGTTCTGCCTGCCGGGAGAGCTCAGGGGTACTTGGGTGAGTGACGAGTCACTGATGAGGTCCCACATCTTCCAGCCTCTGCAGTGGAGCATTTGTAGACACATCTCTGAGGGTTGCATGTGGCTGAGCTGCCAGGCACCTGGCTTCTAAGGGCGACATGGGCAGGAAGGCAGACGAACCCCACATCTCACTTTTGCTAAGCATCCACAGTGATAAGGTGGACAGTGTTCCTCACTGCTTGATGGCCTCCGCTTTCTAACAAATGTCTGGACACCTGTTGACCTCAATTTAACTGCTGAGCAGGTCCAGAGCACAGCCAAATCTAGCCCCTAACTCAGGCAAGATCCTCAGCCAGCTAAGTCAAGTCTATTAAAATACAAATTAAAAAAATAATCAGGGATGGGGATTTAGCCCAATTGATAAAGTGCTTACCTTGAAAGAGTAAGGACTTGAGTTGGATCCCCAGGACATGTGCTCAAATGCTGAGCATGGTGGCACAAAACTGTCAGTGCTGGGGAAGCAAAGATGGACCCCTGGGGCATGCTCGGCAGGCCAGGCTAAACCCCCGGGTGAGCTTCAGGCCCGTGGGGCTGCCTCAGAGTTAGCAGGCATTTCTAGGATAACTATACAAAGGCATCAGGATGCGTGTGCTCAAGCATCAGAGTAAAGGAAACAGTTCGTTTCCTGTTCGCTCTGTACTCAAGACCATGGCTATTGCTTTCTCTGTGGCCGTGCAAGTGAGAGGGACCAGAGTATTTACAGACAGGAGGAAGCGTGGCACGAGAGAAGAGGTAAGGTAATTACAGTAAACAGCAAAGTAAGTTGGCATTACTGATGCCAGCTCTGGGGATGGCAAGCAGCTGAGGGACGGAATTCACTGTCGCTGCTGTATGTGGTCACCTCTCCCGTTATTAGTGTGTGGAGTCGGTCTTTTCTGATGTCTTTGAGTCTTCCGTTAGTCACAAAAATGGTTTGTCTTTTGGTTTTTTGAGAAAGGCTTTCTCTGTGTAGCCCTGGCTGTCCTGGAACTCGCTCTGTAGACCAGGCTGGCCTCGAACTCACAGAGACCCACCTGCCTCTGCCTCCTAAGTGCTGGAATTAAAGGTGTGCTCTACCACTGCCCGGCTGTCTTTTAGACAGTTTTACCGAAGGGCAGGGGATAGCAGGACTTGGATTAGCTCCTCAGAAGTGTTCCCCACGGAGGAGTGTAGGCCGTGTTCAGTGATCTGCCTGCTTTTGTGGAGTTAAGCTAGCTTCTTCGTTAGATAGCTTTGGGGTTTGGTACAGAACTTTCTATCTTATGCACTTGTATGTGTGTGGATACATATTTCTACCTTCTCTGGCTGTGGCAGAGAAACTTCAGAGTCTACAATCAGACATGTGTGACACCCTGTATATTAAGTCATCATGTTTAATGAAGTGTAACTGCTCATACATGTATTTTTTCCCCCTTTATTTTCAACAGGCTCGTTTTTCTCCACTTCTTTACTGCCAAAGTCAAGAACTGCCTAATGGTTCTGTCAGGGAAGCTGCAGCTCCTGTCCCTGCTCCTCTGGAGGCCACAAGTCCAGACACTACAGAGGATGAGGAGGATCATAAACCTAAGCTCTGTAGACTGATTAAAGTCGACGACAGCTTTGGCTTTCACCTGAATGCCATTCGGGGTCAGCCAGGCTCCTTTGTCAAAGAGGTATGTATGGGAACTGGTCCCAGCAGCCGCGAGTTGAGAGAATGTTAGTTAGTCACACTCTCCACCTCCAGGGGTGCTACCATCCGCTTCTGTGCATGTCACGGTGCCTGTACCCTGTAGGGACAGCCAGTGAGACCTCTGCAGCTCTCAAGTTGGGATCACAAGACGGGGGCCAGATGCCTCCAGCCCAAAGATGTTCAGTAGGGTGCCTGGCCAGTGTGGCGTAGAGGGGGTGCGGCCCCTCAAGGAGAAAGGTGTGGTTAAGTTTTCAGGAGGGAAGCTGCCTGGCACACACTCACCCATGTTTGGAACTGACACTCAGAACTTGTGCTCACAGGTACAGGAGGGTGGCCCTGCGGACAAGGCTGGGCTGGAGGATGAGGACGTCATCATTGAAGTGAACGGGGAGAGTGTGCAGGAGGAACCCTACGAGAAAGTAGTGGACAGGATCAAGAGCAGCGGGGAGCACGTCACTCTCCTGGTCTGTGGAAAGAAGGCCTACGACTACTTCCAAGCCAAGAAAATCCCCATCGTTTCCTCCATGGCGGACCCCCTGGACATCTGTTCTGATGACAGAGGAGGAATGTCTGCAGAGTCAGAGCTTGACCCCCACACAGCAAGAGAACGAGTGAGTGGTGACCCGCTTCTTGGGAGTCGGAACACAGGGCGACCAACCTGTCAGGGTTTGGGAGGAGAGGAGGTAGGAAGGACGGGGACAGATTTATTGTCGTCTTAGAAGTGCGGCCTCAGTGTGGAGCCCAGGCTGATCTAGAACTCGCCACCCTCTTGTCTCAGCCTCCTGAGTGCTGGGATTGTGGCTCATGAGGTTATTTTCTTAGCATGCGGCTGGCAATCAGTAAATGAGGATTTTATCAGAATCACGACGGAGACCATCAGAAGAACCAGCTTGGTTCTCCCGCACATCAGCGGACTTCCTGGCTCTGTGCTTTAGCTTGCCTACCTATAAAACAGGGATGATATGCACAACCGTTTTCAGAATAAAAGTATTTGAACAGTGCCTGGCTCACAGTGAGTAAACACACAGAGATGGTTAGGGCAGTATTTTTTCTAGTCAACTTTTTCTTCATAGATGAACTTGAGATTCAAAAATGAATTGGGGGCTGGAGAGATGGCTCAGAGGTTAAGAGCACTGGCTGCTCTTCCAGAGGTCCTGAGTTCAATTCCCAGCAACCACATGGTGGCTCACAACCACCTGTAATGAGATCTGGTGCCCTCAAAAATGAATTGATGGCCAAGTTCATAAAAGGAAATTTACTGGAGTCAGGCTTTTGATGAAAAGTCTCACTACACTTTTCCTTTCCATTGTATTATTTCTACTGATAGATTAGCAATGTCAATTATGGTGCTATAGTAGTCTTATAGAAAACGGATTACATATATACAATCATACATATATAGACGAGAACTTCGTTTGCGTTAAATAGGAAGCCAAGCATAGATGTCAGACCATGTCTTCTAGGAGTGCACGGCTCTCCTCCCTGACTTAAGCATGCAGTCTAGAGCAGGCCAGGCTCTCCTGCGGCTCACACTCTGCCCGTCTAAACCCTCGGGTTTGTTTTCACAGACTCACAGCACAGCCTCGCATTCTTCTTCCAACTCTGAGGACACAGAGATGTGATGAGAACAAACGGTGATTTTGGCTACTGGATTCCTCTTACATGTCCAAGAACTTCCTTTCCAAGGAAGGAGCCCTCTGCTGGCCCCATTAGGCCTCTAGAATCACTCATTCCACGTGATGGTCTGCCGTTGTAAGGGCTGCTCAATTTAGCTGGAGGGAGTGGCCAGGTTCTTTCTATGTGATATCTGCCCAAGTACAGCTTTCCATTTTTGCTGATGAAACCTCTTCTGTCTGCATCCTGAGCACCAGAGATGATTCGTTTGTGTATGTTTGAGTGTGGCTAATAAAAGTTCCAAGCAGACATCCTGCTGGAGGTGTGTCTCTGTAGCAACGCTGTGGCTAAGAGCATTATTCAAGTGCTTTGGAGTTGGCTGCAACTTCCCTGCTGGTTAACAGGATCTGGATTTGAATAGTGCCTTTGTTCTGTATGAACATTTCATGCTTTTTCATCTGCATTTTTCCATTTCATTTCTAGAAGCCCAACATGGCAAAGTACACACTATGACCTTAGTAATAAAAGACTTCCAGGCAATATACTTCCGAATTTTCTTATATTGCATTTGAGTATTAAAAAACGTCACCTTCCTTTTATGGTTGGGGAGCGTGTGTTCTAGGACGGGGGGGGGGGGGGGGGAGGGCTGTGGCAGCTAACAGCTACTGTCTCAACCCACACCACGAGAGGCAGAGGGAAAGAGCCTGAAGCTCCACCACTGGGCTAGTGTACGGCAGCCACTCTTCACTAGGTTAAAAGGAACTTTAAAAAAGGCATACCTAAAATCTTTTGGTAAAATGTATTTCAGTTGCCTATCATCCCTTTCCCAAAAAGAACAAACAACCTTTTGGTTATTTTTATGGGGTAAAGTTGGGTGAGGGAGGGATGCATTTGACGTTAGACCACAATAACACAGCACGCCACGCCAGGCTTGATAAGTGAACTCAAGGCCACAGTGTTACAAATTCTGATTTTACTAAATTTTTTGAGGGAAGCCACCTGAGGAGCACCAGGGTGCTCCTGCCCTGCCCCTCACCCTCCACACTGCACAGCCTCAGACCCACGCATGCTCCCTGCAGAATGCTGCGGGCTTTTCTCCCTCTCTGCCTCCGTGGGAACTCCTTATGACTCCAGTACTGCCACAGGAGGAGGAAGGCAAGTGCTGGATGCAGAATAAACCGCCCCAGCAGCTCATCTGCTCACAGAATTGAAGGCCCAGGTATGGTCCACTGTGTCTCCTTCCTCAGTCTGCAGTGGCTCTAAGGTCAGGGCGCCATATGCTTCTCTGGTGCCTGCTTGTGAGCCAGGTAGAGGAAGAGTATGCTGGAGAGGGCGCTGACGAGGAAGATGACGTCGAACCAGCGGTGATAGAAGTTGAACTGAAGCTCCCCAAGGACTTCCGTGATTATGGTCCGGTACTCGGGGGGCATGCTCATTCGGATCAGCAGCACGGAAGAGACGAAGTACATGCCCTGCAAAGGGGGCCGACTCACTCAGACGTCACTGAATGTCTCCAGGGGCAACTAGACCCATGTGTATACACACAAACACATGTGCCCCCTCCCCCAAACATTTCTAAGCTGGGTGTGGTGCTGCACGCCTGAAATCCCAGCACTTGGGAAGTAGAAACAGATCAGGAGTTCAAGGCCACCCTTCCCTACATAGAAGAGGCCATCATGGACTACGAGGCCTTGTCTCAAACAACAAAACCCCTCCCCAACAGAATCCCATTTTTGGCATCTTACAGTTGTAGACACAAAGGCAGATCATTAAACTTACCATTATCTGCGCTAAGAGCAGGACAATGACATTGGAGGACTTACTGCTGGATATGGCATAGAAGAACTGTGGAGAGAGGAGAGGAACTCGGTGGTACTGATGGATCTTGTCATGAACGATACACTACACGATTAGCCTTTAATAGCATCTCTTTCATGGCACAAAAAGTATAGCAAATTCAGACGTTTAAATCCCTAGAGAAGGATTTAAAATATAAGAACAACCAGCCTCCCCGCCCCCAGGTGGTTGGTGGTTTTGTGTGTGACACAACAAAGTAACCCTGCTGTTAAATTCCACAAACAATGATGCCTTCGACATCACCACACAACACTAAACAGCAATTCTGGGCCACACCTGCAGCTGTCAGGGGCTCCTGAACTCTTCCCAGATTGTGCTAGATGTTGGGAGTCCCTTCCTCCTAATTTCTCTTCTCAGTGTTTGTCTCTTCTACCAGAGAGGATCCACTTTTCACCACCACGTGGTCTTGCTGGGTGTTCTTATCTTCCTCACACGTGACTTACGTCGTTTTGTTTTTTCTAAGTAGCTGCTGAATACCACGTGCCAAGTTTGGTCATAGACAGTATGACAGCTCAATGAACAGAATGGATCCCTTATCTCTATTACCTTTAGAATGATCTGTGGTGGTAGACGATGTCTTACCCACAATTTACAGAGAAGTTTAACAGTCTTTTCATTTTTCTGGATGTCCTCTGAGTTGTTCACGACTATTGTGTAGGATCTAATTCAGAAGTCATGTAATTAAATAAGGCCTTTTAAACACTGTGATGCAACATACCTTGGTAAGAGTGATCAGCAGTCCTCTGATGGATGTGACAATGATTATTCCAACCAGAATGAAAGAAATGTGTTGAGACCAGAACTTCACCTGCCATCAGAACAGGAAGAACAGGCCATTACATTTCCAGGCAGAGTGGAGAGCTAATGTGATTTCTGATGACTTCTGTGACCATGAGAAGGAATTCCATTAGGTTCCCCCTGATCAGTTTTGAAATAGATACCTATGGGGAGACTTCATTGGATCCCTTATTTAGCAGACTTAAGGGTCAAAGGAAGCAGTACAGAGAAGTGAGGGGAAAAAAAACACTATTGAGAAAGCCCACAGCTGATGAGATGGTCCCACTTCGAGGAAACCCACAGCTGATGAGATGGTCCCCTGTGAGGAGTGCAGAATGAAGGATTAAGATGAACTCAGTGCACCCTGATTGTTTTCAATGCTGTGGATGAGGGATTGCTGATCACATGCTTCCAGGAGTAAAGGCCAAGGAGGTTACAGTATGACTACATGGGTATTAGTGAAGTTCACTTGAACCACACAATGGAGCTCTTTTCTCCAGTACTGCTTGACAGGGAGAAGCAGTTTTGGGAACCTGTGCTTGACTCTGTTCCCAGGTACGTGATGCTGAGGCCGTACCAACATCTAAAAGGCTTGTTATTTATTCAGAAGCGTGAACATGGAGGAAGGAGATGAATCAGGCTGGAACAGATAAAAGTGAGCAGTCTCAAAGCGTTCACTTCTAAAAGTGAAAACATTTGAGACAGGATTTCACTGTGTAGCCCTGCCTAGCCTAGAACTTGCTCTATAGTCTAGGCTGGCCTTGAATTCAGAGATTTTCCTACCTCTGCCTCCTGAGTGCCACTGCTCCCAGCAAGCCCAGAAAGTCAAGTGATATTTAAATGAGAAAAACCACACAGGCATCAGTAATAAAGTACATGGACCACATTGGAATTCCCCATGCCCTTTAGAAAGATGCCTTGATCCATCACATGCAGAAAGAATACACTGCTGACCTATCATGAAGAATGTGTACTTTAGTGGTTGGGGAGATGGCTCAGCGGTAAGAATGCTTGGACTTGAGCTGAAATTGCAAGCACCCATGTAAAAGCTGGGCATGGCTATGTGTGCCTGTAACAGCAGCACTGGGAGCTAGCGACAGGCAGACTCTGTGCAGCTGAAACGGCAAGTCTCAAGTTCAGCGAGACACCCTTATTAAGAATAAGATGAAGGGAGGAATATCCACAGCACCCTCCTCTGCCTCCACGGTGAGGACTGTGAACTGGAGGCCAACCTGGGCTATTCAGTGGGAACAAAAGCATCCCTGGCGTTGCTCCTGCGGGCCCGCACCTCAGTTTGCTTGCGCATTTTATCTAGCTGCCCCTGAGATGGGAGACAGGCTACGCTGAGATGGAGACCAAGGGTGACACATACCCCCATCTAGGCTCAGAGGAAGCTTGACAGTCCACCAAGGACAAAGAAATGTGACACCAGTGTTACTACCAAAGTGTTCATCATCCTGAACGACGTCATCTGAAAAACACCTTATACTAGGAATAACCACTGAACTTGAGATAAGGCTTGTTCATGCCTGGTTTTATGAAATAGGGAGAAATGATTAAAAAGACAAACCCCAACTTTGTGCATAGGTGACAATCCAACTTCAGTCCAAGGTCCACCTTACTCGACTGACAAAGGTCATTTCTTATAGTGGAAACCACTTCAGCTCTATTTCAGAACACTAATTAGTTGTTAATTTTCTACCAGGAGATCAAAGGTGAGTTGTGACTTTGAAGAGCTCACTGAGTATCACAGAGGAAGATCTGAATACTTGGTGGAAAGACACTGGCCAGTGGTGGCTGGCTGTGGATATGCTGTGGGCTGGCCGAGGACAGGCCAAGGAGGGCCTGTAGCAGCAGGTTGCATCCAGTCACTGCTTATGGCTTTACCATAAGAAAAATAACCCTGACCGTTTACAGACAGGCCACGGGAGCTGTCAGCACACGGAGGACAATGGCCCTGAAGCTCAGGGTTAAACCCGAGGGTCGGGCTGTGGCCGACTGTCCTGAAGGAAGCAAACAAGGAGGTGGGGTGGCTCTTACATCGAACTGGATCCCCAGGTAATTCACAGTGATCTCAATGCCTCTGGTGACAGGGTCAGTCTTCCCAACTCGATCAAGAACAATATTGATGGTCGCCTGCAGAGATGGAGCTTTGTGTTAGGACACCTTTTATCACTGTCTCAGAGTGACACATATCCCCAATGGCTCGGGGACAAAGGCACCTGCCATCAAGGCTGACCACTCAGATTTGATCCCTGGGATTCACATGGTGGAAGACAAGTACTGACACCTGCAAGTTGTCCCCTGACCACCACACATGCCACATGTCACATGCACCTGGACACACACACACGTAATTTAAAAGTTTTTAATAAAATAATGATTCCACATGAATTAATGAACATATCTTACAGGTTGATGTTTCCTACAATACATTTTAATTCTACTTCCAATCTAAAACGTGAATAGGAAATCTATTTTGTCCATTCACACACAGGCAAATGAGTTTCTATCCCATATTTATTTCTGTAGAGTCAAGAGCATAAAGTGTATGCGCGCTATGATTCCGAGGTCAGAAAGTTAGCATTCTGGTAGGAAGTTAGAGTACGAACCAAGAAGAGCCAGGGTCATTTCCTGTGTGACTGAGTGCTCTAAGAGTGTTGACCAAAGGACACAGCTCGAGCTGCTGAGCTAAGGAGAG